TTTATTTGTTTTATTTGTTTTATATTTGTCTCCTTTAACCGTTTATTTGTTTTATTTGTTTTATTTGTTTTATTTGTTTTATTTGTTTGTCTCCTCTACTTTTTTATTTGTTTGTCTCCTTTATCTTTTTATTCGACGCCTTTATTTTATTTGTCTCCTTTATCTTTTTATTTGTTTGTCTCCTTTATCTTTTTATTCTTTAATTTGTTTTGTCTCCTTTATCTTTTTATTCTTTAATTTGTTTTGTCTCCTTTATCTTTCTACTTGTTTTTTTGTTTTGTCTGTCTTGTTTGTTTTGTTATATTTTATTTTTTTGTTTTTTTATATTTTTATTTGTTTTTATTTGTTTTATTTGTTTGTCTTCTTTATTTTCCTGTTTTATTTATTTTATTTTTTTGTTTATTTGTTAGATTTATTTGTTTGATGTATTTGTTTTATTTTATTTGTTTTGTCTGTCTTATCTATTTAATTGATTTATTTATTTATTTATTTTATTTTATTTATTTATTTATTTAGTTTATTTTTTGTTGTACGCCAGATAAGAATCTCCGCTCCTCCTGAGCGCCGCTTCTCAGCTTGGATAGGCGGGTCTATTTTAGCGTCTCTGTCTAGCTTTAAGAAGATGTGGGTACAGAGACAGGTAGGGTTTAGGGTTTAGGGTTTAGGGTTTAGGGTTTACTAACGAGCTGCGTGGAGCTAGCTAGCCAGCTACCTAGCTACACACACAGCTAGCTGCAGACACGCAGCTATCTATGCACTCACAGCTAGCTGGACACACACACCTGCAATACAGCTAGCTAGCTAGCTAGCTAGCTAGTTAGCTGTACTGTTAATAGCTAGCTAGCTAGCTAGCCTTGCCCTTAGTAGCTAGCTACCTAGCTAGCCATACTCTTGACAGCTAGCTAGCTAGCTGTACCGTTGTTAGCTAGCTAGCTATAAACAGCACAGACAGGGCGGCGAGCTGTTTGTCTATTGAGTGTGCGGTTGCTGCTGCTGCAGGAGTATGAAGAATGCGGCCCCAGCATACTGCACCGAAAAACTCTCTAATACCCTGCGCAGCAGCAGCTGCAGCAGCAGCTGCAGCAGCAACCGCTGCAGCAGCAGCTGCTGCTGCTGCAGCGGTTCAGGGGACCTGCTGCAGTCTCCCATTGACGCAGCAACTCAGCAGCTGCAGCAGCAGCTGCTGCTGCTGCAGCAACCAGCAACAGCAGCAGCACTGTCAGCAGCAACTGTAGCAGCGCCAGTTGCAACAGCAACAGCAGCAGCAGCACTAGCAACAGCAGCAGCAGCAGCAGCAGCAGACGGCTTCATAACATATATATTTAGGAATCTGTTTGGGTTCAAGCACTGGCTTGCGCCGCAGCAGCAAGAGTGCAGCAGCACCTCTGCTGCTGCTGTTGCTGCTGCTGCTTCTGCAGACCCTGAAAATAAATACCGGAGAGACTTTGTCTCTCCCGATGTGTTGCTGCTGCTGCTCTCGCTGCTGCTGCTCTTGCTGCTGCTGCTCTTGCTGCTGCTGCTGTCTTACGGTGTGTTATTACCTACTCTGCTGCTGTAGTGGCTGCTGGAGCTGCAGCAGGTGGTTGGGTGTTAGTTGCTGCTTCTGCTGCTTCTGCTGCTGCTGCTGCATCTGCTGCTTCCTGCTCCTGTGCATCAGCTAGCACCTCTGCTCTGAATTGGGTGTACATACACTCTAACTCTTTAGGGTTTGCTGCAGCAGCACGAAGAAGAGCAGCAGCAACTGAGCGGAGACGAGCCTCCCGCTGCTGCTGCACTGCCTGCCGCTGCAGCAAACGCGAATGCTCGCAGGCGCACCTGCAGCAGCAGCAGCAGCAGCAGCAGCAGCAGCAGCAACACAAACACAAACAACCCCTCAAATTAGCAGCAGCAGGAGCAACCAGCATAAGCAGCAGCGAGCATAAGCAGCAACCAGCAGCATCAGCAGCAGCAACAGGAGCTGCTGCAGCAGCAGAAGACAAAGACAAACGGAGACAGCAGACAGAGAGAGACAGTAGAAATGCGAGAGACATCAAATGGAGACAGAGAAACTCAATTATTTTTAAAAGAATAAAAAAGGCGTAGCAAATGAAGAGACAGACAAATAAATAAGACAAAGAAAGAAACAGAGACAGAGAGACAATGAGAGAGACAGAGACAGAGACAGAGACAAACAACAACAGAGACAGCAGCAAATTAAAGAGCAACAGCAACAAAAACACTCAGACAGCAAATGAGACAAGGAGACAGAAGAAGCTGCATAGACATATATATATATATGTATGTATATATGTATATATGTATATATATATACATATATATACATATATATACACATATATAATGTATAGTATATAAAGTATATAACATATAATATATATATATAATGTATATATATAATGCATATAATATACATATATATTATATAATATATATAATATATAATATATATATATTTAAAAGATAAATATATATTTGTAGTCTGTCTTACTGCAGAACATGTTGAGGGATGCCTGCGAGTTTAGCTACGAGTATGCCTTGAGAAGAGGGACATACACCTGGTTTGAGTGAGTAAGAGAAACAAACTGTCTCCTTTTCAATTGAAGCTCCTAGGTGTACATTGGAGACACCTGGATGCTGTCTTAATTCATAACAAAGCATGTGGTAGTGCGTAGCAAACAAAGACCTGCACTGTACATGCATGCATGCATACACCGCAGATCAATGCACATACATCACATATCATTATATATATCCTGCTGCTCCTCTAAATGCTGCTGCTGCTGCTGCTGCTGCTGGTCGTGTTGCAGCTGCTGGTGTTGGTGCTGCTGCTGTTCGTGTTGCTGCTGCTGGTGTTGTTGCTGCTGCTGCTGGTGTTGTTGCTGCTGCTGCTGGTGTTGCTGTTGTTGTTGCTGCTGCTGCTGCTGGTGTTGTTGCTATTGATAAGGCGAACGACAGACACAGAGAGACAGCGAAACACAGAGACAGAGACAGACAGAGACAGAGACAGACAGAGACAGAGACAGAGACAGAGACAGAGACAGACAGACAGAGAGAGAGAGACAAAGACAGAAATAAAAGAGAGAGAGAGACAGTTAGAAGGAGACAGATAAAACAAACAGATTTTAAAAAGTATCAGCCGTCTCCCGCTATCAGACTAACAGCAATAAATACAGAGACAAACAAAAGGAGAAAGGAGACAAAAGAAAGAGACAGACGGAGGAGACAGAAGAATGAGACACAAGAAAGAGAAAAACAACTAAGAGGAGACAAACAAATGAGAGGAGACAAACAAAAGGAGACAGAAGAAGACCGACAACTACGAGGAGACAAACAAATCAGAGGAGACAAACAAAAGGAGACAAACAACTAAAAAGAGACAAACAAAAGAGACAGAAGGAGGAGACAGACAAAAGGAGACAGAGGAAGGAGACAAACAGATAAAAGGAGACAAACAACTGAAAGGAGACAAACAAAAGGAGACAAAAGGAGACAAACAGCTAAAAGGAGACAAACAGCTAAAAGGAGACAAACAGCTGAAAGAAGACAAACAAAAGGAGACAAACAGCTGAAAGGAGACAAACAGCTAAAAGGAGACAAACAGCTGAAAGGAGACAAACAGCTAAAAGGAGACAAACAATAGGAGACAAACAAAGGGAGACAGGAGGAGGAGACAGACGGAGGAGACAAACAAAAGGAGACAGAAGAAGGAGACAAACAGCTGAAAGGAGACAGAAGAAGGAGACAAACAAAAGGAGACAGAAGAAGGAGACAAACAGCTAAAAGGAGACAAACCCGAATAACATCATTGATGTACTCGGCAGTAGACAGTGCAATCGCCAGGCCGTCGCTGGTGGATGTCCCTCTACCCAGTTCGTCTATCAAAGCTAAAGAATAACGTGTCCCCTGCAGCAGCAGCAGCAGCAGCAGCAGCAGCAGCAACAGCAGCAGCAGCAGCAGCAGTGGCAGTAACAGTGGCAGCAGCAAGAGGGAGACAGGCAGCAGCAGCAGCAGCAGCAGCAACAGCAGCAGAAAAAACGCATGCATAAAACAGCATATCCACGCCGGCGAAACCAAACCCTAATAAACCCTCATAAACCCTAATAAACCCTAGGAAACCCTATTGAACCTTAAGACACCCTGATAAACCCTAATAAACCCTAATAAACCCTAAACCCTCGACGTACGTGCGTGGTTAGCTCAGCTATATCTGAGAGCTCAACGAAGAAAGTGCTGCTGCCCTGCAAAATAAAATCTTCTGCCCCCAAACGCGAGAAAATTCTGTCTACAGGAGTCAACAAGCACTCCGAAGCTGCACGTACACCCCAAAACCCTAAACCCTAAACCCTAAACCCTCAGCACCCCAACACTCCAAACCCTTAACCCTATATCCTACACCTCAAACCCTCAACACCACCGTATGCGCACCGATACAAACGCAGAACAAAACGTAACATGGGGCAAAGAGCTAAACCCTAAACCCTAAACCCTAAACCCTCGATGGGTACCTGGTACATATGAACCCAGCTGAGCCAGCACAACGCAAAGAGCTGTCTGCCTCAAGAGAGTGCTCTTGCCTCCCATGTTAGGGCCCGTAATCAGCAAGGTGCGTACGTTGCTGCTGCTGCTGCTGCTGCTGCTGTTGCTGCTGCTGCTGCTGCTGCTAGCAGGCGCATTCAGGAGAATGTCGTTAGGAACAAAACCATCCGTCAGCTTCTCCGCCATCGGGTGTCTGCGCATGCAACCTAAACCCTAAACCCTTAACCCTAAACCCTTATTTCCTTGCTGGTGCTTTGTCTCTCAGGAGATAAAACAGAGAACAGAAAAATGTCTTTGGGCGTTTAAAGGGGATCAGGGTTTCGGGTTTAGGGTTTAGGGTTTGGGGTTTAGGGTTCCCCCACACGCCCGCCTCTGCCTAGGGTTTAGGGTTTAGGGTTTAGGGTTTAGGCTTGCCTGGCGTTCTTCAGAACCAGCACGGGCTCTTCGTCTTCTGAGGGCTGCAGCAGCTTCGGGCGCGTCATCTCCGGCCCTGAAGCAGCAGAAACCCTAAACCCTAAACCCTAAACCCTAAACCCTGAAGGCCCAGGGACGGCAGCCATTAGACTCTAGAAAGAGAGCAACAAACAACCGAAAGCAGCCCTTGCTGCTCTTGCTGCTGCTGCTGCTGCCTCCAAACCCCAATGCTGAACCCTCTTAGCAGCAGCAGCAACACCACCACCGCCAGCAGCAGCAGCAACAGCAGCAGCAGCAGCACTACCACCATCATTAGCAGCACCACGAGCAGCCTCAGCAGCAGCAGGTGCTGCTGCTTGCTGCATCAGCAGCATCACCACCAGCAGCAGCAGCAGCAGCACCAACACCATCAGCAGCAGGATCAGGAGCAGCATTAGCAGCAGCATCAAGAGCAGCAGCATCACGAGCATCAGCAGCGTCAGCAGCAGCAGCATCGGCAGCATCAGGAGCATCAGCAGAAGCAGCATCAGCAGCATCAGCAGCAGCAGCAGCAGCAGGAGCAGCAAGAGATAATTACCCGGATGAGTGCGAGCAAAGGAGGCTAGGCTCTGAAGAGCATCCAACTCATTAATAGAATTCACAGACACAGCAAAAACATCGCCGAACATTGTCGCGAAATGCCCCATCAAGCGACACCGAAAAGGATAAAAAGAATCCGCCTGCTCCAACTCGTGGTCTGCATGCAAACCCTAAACCCTAAACCCTAAACCCTAAACCCTAAACCCTAAACACGGAACACGAAACACGAAACACAAAACCCTAAACCCTGAACCCTAAACACGAAACCCTAAACAAACCAAACAACAACCAAAACCCTAAACCCTTAACACTAAAGTACTAAATGCTAAACCCTAAACCCTAAACACTAAATGTTAAACCCCAAACCCTAAACAGTACAGCCTTCCGCACCCTCAAGCTGATCGACGAGCTCTAATATCGCCGGCGTTCGGAAGCTGCACATACACACAAACCCTAAACCCTAAACCCTAAACCCTAGCCCCCAAACTTGAGGTTTTAAGTGGAGAAGGGAAGGGCTGCCGTTCGATAGAGAGCCACACGAGTCCACCTAGGGTTTAGGGTTTAGGGTTTAGGGTTTAGGGTTTACCGAATGAAGCCTTTCCTAGAGGAAGTAATCTCAGCGTCGAGCCGCCGCAGCATATCTCTGCTGATGTTTTCGGGGCATTCCACTTCAAACCTGTACACAAACCCTAAACCCTAAACCCTAAACCCTAAACCCTAAACTCTGAACCCTAAACCCTAAACCCTAAACTCTGAACCCTAAACCCTAAGCCCTAGACCCTGAACCCTGAACCCTAGACTCTTGCGTCTGAAACGCAGGTGTCAGTACACACGCCACAACGCGTACTTCCAGGCCCTACGCTAGGGTTTAGGGTTTAGGGTTTAGGGTTTACTTGAACTTGGTGTGAGTATATTTAAGTGTATTTATCCCCGTTTCTCTTTGAATTTCTTCGAGGATTTGCTGCAGTTGTTGTCGGCAGTCTGCGATTTGTTGAGTGGCCGCGTCGTACTCCGGCACCAAACCCTAAACCACAAACCCTAAACCCTAAACCCTAAACCCTAAACCCTAAACCCTAAACCCTAAACCCTAAGGCAGAAGAAAAAACAAGCTCTACGCACAAACCACACATCCTAAACCCTAAACCCTAAACCCTAAACCCTAAGCTCTATGCACAAATCACACATCCTAAACCACAAACCCTAAACCCTAGACCTCAAACTCTAAACAACACGCAAAAGGAGACAGACAACAAAAAGAAGACAGACAACAAAAAGGAGACAGATAATAACAAATGGAGACAGACGAAGAAGAAAAGGAGACAGGTGTCTGGCTTACCTTGACAGGGTATATCTTCTCATTCTCACTGTCTCCTTCAACTGTAAAGAGAGTAATAAGCTTGTCGCATGCATCTTTAAGCTTAGGAAAGACGCCTCCTTTGTCTCTTCCTGCACACAAGGCCCAGAGCCTGTGGGGCCAGAGGACCTGTGCTGCTGCTGCTGCTGCTGCTGCTGCTGTTGCTGCTGCTGCAACGGGGTCTTCTCCGGCTGCAGCTGCAGCTGCTGCTGCTTGTGCTGCTGCTGCTGCAGGAGGCTCCTTCTCCAATGCGACGACAACAGCAGCAGCTAAGTCATGAAGAGAAGAAAAAGAATTAAGAAGAGACACGAAAAGTTTTAACTCTTTTTGATGCACATCATCAAAATAAACTGCGTGTCTCTTCTGCTGTCTCCCTTGCCGGAGACAGCGAGCAGTAAGCCTCTCTAGATCCGGTAGGCTGCTGCTGCTGCTGCGAATAAGTTCTAGCACATCTTGATGCTGCAGCAACCAGGAGACAGCATCTAAACGCATATTAATGCTGTCAATACACCTCAAAGGAGACACTATCCATCTCCGCAGCAAGCGTTTACCTCCTGCTGTTGTTGTGCTGTCTATACACCCCAATAAAGAACCGCGGGTGTCTCCTTCCTGACTAGTTAATATCTCTAGCTGAGATAAAGCCTTTGCATCAAGAGACAAGACATCAGAAGCAGCACGAGACACTTCAGAGAATGAAGAGACAGGCAGCACTTTATCTTGAAGAAGCAGCTGCTCTAAATATAAACAGCAAGCACCAACAGCCTTCATTAAGCATGGGCTCCTATCACACTCCTCCAAGCAATAATCTACCCCGTTGCTGCTGCTGCTGCTGCTGCCGTTGCTGCTGCTGCTGCTGCTGCTGCTGCTGCTGCTGCTGCGGGGACGTATGTAGGTATCGATAAGCTGCATAGCCTGGAGAGCATCTGGGAAGGAAGAGAGAGGAGACAGCTGAGGAGCAAAGGGCAGCCTCTTAATGATTGACAGCAGAGACACAGGAAAGCCTGAGGGTTTATAAACAATTTCTACCGGCTGAGTTTTATTAATCAGAGACAGCAAACATATCCACGAAACATTGTCTCTATCTGTAGCCAAATATATATTATTTGTAGGGATATCAACCAAGCAGACCCCAAAAGAATATTTATGCTCGTTCTCCTCCTGCTGCTCTTGCTGCTGCTGCTGCTGCTCTTGCTGCTGCTGCTGCTGCTGCTGCTGCTGCTGCTGCGGTTTGAGGGGTATATCTGCTGGGTCAGTTGATAGAGAGAGAACAAGAAGAAGCCTAGCATCAGGTCCGAGCATCTCGTTATAAGGGACAGCAGCAGCAGTAAATATCTCGCAAGGCTCTCTTCTAACAGTTTTATCTTTAGCTAGCTGCTGCTGTCTCCTTTTATCTAATTCTTTGGGTGTCTCCACCTGCTCAACAACAACAACTCTAAACCCTGCATTTAATAAAGCACGAGAATGATGTTGAAGAGACTGCTCAGGAAAGCCGCAATGAGGCTTCTCTGACGACCCCATCCACTGTAAATCGCAGTACTTATGCCCTATGCATGCATCAATATAAAACATCTCATAAAATCTACCTAATTTAAACAGCACAATTTTATCATGATGCTTTTGTTTCACACTCCAGTACTGTTGTAATCCGGGTGTATAATGAGGTGTCTTCTCTTCTTTTGCTAATTTATGTTGTGCATTCGGAGGCACCCAAAGTGTTTCTGGGGTGTATAGGCAGCTCTTCATTGCAGATTGACCTTTCTCATCTTTCAGATTCTCAGGCTTTAACCAAGAAGGAAAAGAAAATATATTCTCGTGCTTTAAATACTCATCAATATACACCTGAAGATATAAGCTTCCTGTACGCTCTGCTGCTGCAGCAAATGCAAGTCGTAATGAGCATTCCCTGCTGCTGCTGCCGCTGCTGCTGCTGCTGCTGCTGCTGCTGCTGTTGCTGCTGCTGCGGCTGAATTGACCTGCACGGCGAGCACCCAAAGGCAAAGATGTACCGACTCCGCTCTCCCCTGCTGCTGCTGCTGCTGCTGCTTCATCAAACGCCAGCGCCTCAATGGGCCCTGTAGGCTCTAGATCCTGCTGCTGCTGCTGCTGCTGCTGCGGTTTGTCTGTCTCCATGTCTCCTTCTGTCTCCTCTGAAAACAAAGCGGATCCCCCTGACTCCTCCCCTTTGCTTCCTGCTGCTGCTGCTGCACCTGCTGCTGCTGCTGCTGCTGCTGCTGGGCGTTCATCATCGTCTGAGTCAAGGGCTACTTTCTTGAGTCTCCTTCTTCTTCCGACTGTCTCCTCTGTCTCCATCCAGCCAATGCCAGACAGACGCCTCTTCAGCCCCAAGCCATCTTCCTGCTGCTGCTGCTGCTGCTGCTGCTGCTGTTGGTCTCGCTGCTGCTGCTGCTGTTGCTGCGGCTGCTGCGGTGGTGATGATGGCTGCTGTTCAAGGCGCGTTTCCTGGGCCGGCTTGTGTTGCTCTTGAGTTTGCTTTTGCTGCTGCTGCTGCTGCTGCTGCAGCTTCTGCTGCTGCTGCTGCTGTCCAGGGGCTGTAGAGGTGGAGCTGTTGGGGGACAAATCTTCCTTCTGTCGACCAGGAGAATCCCCTGCAATGCTTGCTGCTGCTGCTGCTGCTGCTGCTGCTCCTGGTGCTGGTGCTGCTGCTGCTGCTGCTGGTTTCGGCTCCACTGATGCAGCCTTTATGGCTGCCGCATTCGCTGCGGTGGTTTGCTGCTGCTGCTGCTGCTGCTGCTGTTGCTGCTGCGGAGGGGAGACCGCTGCTGAGTCCTCAGTCTTCTTAAAGAAAGCCAGAAGAGAAGGCTGGCGCTGCAGATACACCCCAAATACTCACCTCCAGCCAAAGCGCATGCAGCAACAGCAGCAGCAGCAACAGCAGCAACAGCAGCAACAGCAACAGCAGCAGCAGCAGCGGCACTAACAAAAGCAGTAGCTCCTCTGCATCATGAGCAACAGCAACATCAGCAGCAGCCGCAACGGAGAAGCATGAACAGCAGCAACGACAGCAACAACAGCAGCAGCAACAACAGCAGCGGCAACAACAGCAGCAGGATGAAAAGCAGCAGCAACAGCAGCACCAAGAGCAACAGAAGCAGCAGCAGCAACAACCATAACAACAACAGCAGCAGCAGCAGCAGTCTTGCGTCTCTAACCTTGTTTGCTGCATCTACGCCGCCTGAAGACCTCCGGCCCTTCCCAGCTGATGGCCTCCTGTCTATTGCCATCCTCTAAACCCTAAACCCTAAACCCTAAACCCTAAACCCTAGCCCTGGCCCTCAACCCGCCAGGGGTTTTCGTCGAGCTGCGCGATGTGGAGTGTCTCTCCCTGCTGCTGCTGTTGCTGCTGCTGATGTAGCTGCTGCAGCTAGTGTTGCTGCTGCTCCTCCTGCTGCTGACGCTGCAGCAAATGAGGTGTACGTACAGCTGAGTGCAGGAAGGCAGCCTCCCTGCCGCCACCCCCCTAAGCTGTCCTCAGGGCTTCCCAGCCTAAACCCTAAACCCTAAACCCTCTGGGCTCACTAAGCAACAGAAGACGGAAGCAAAGGAGTAAGTTGAGGTGTATGTACACTCAAACCCCAGGGCTGCAGCAGCAGCTACAGCAGCAGCAGCAGCTAACACAGCCACTTAAGGGTTGGGGCTGTAGTGGGGTGTGTTTCTTCTAACCACCGATTGCCGCTGCTGCTGCTGCTGCAGCAGCAGCAACAATAAGCCTAGGCTCTGTCTTTTACTCGTTTTGCTGCTAGCTTCGCTGTGAAGAAAATTAAAGCATTAATAACTCTACTGCTGCCTTCTTGTCTTATGCTCAGAGGCAACGCCTTGCAGCAGCAGCAGCAGCAGCAGCATCAGTCTCGCCCCTGGCGGCCGCAGCAGCAGCAGCAGCAGCAGCTGCTGCTGCTGCTGCTGCTGCTGCTGCAGCCGCTGC